CACATAATTGTATATAATCTCAAAGTTTAGAAGTAGATGTATAGTTTCCAGAACTTCACATAAAATCCCCAACTCACAGATTTAGAAAACAAAAGCAGATTTGAAAAGTGCTGCAGAGAAGCATCCTGGTCCTGAGGCCACCCTGGCCACCCTGGCATCAGTCTTCTTACCCAGCTGCTTCGTGAGCATAGTTTGAAGAGGGGATCTAACTTCCAAATGCTAAATCGTCTGTCCCGCAAAGCCCGGCAAATGCCCATTTTATAAAACAGAAACTCAGATCCTCAGAAAAGCATGCACAGGCAACACATATATGCTAGAAATCAGTGTTTCTCAACCTTGACAATTTTAAGGCATGTGGACTTCAACTCCCAGAATTCCACAGCCAGCATTGCTGGGTGTGGAATTCTGGGAGTTGAAGTCCACATGCCTTAAAATTGTCAAGGTTGAGAAACACTGTGCTAGATAAAAGCAACTAGATAAAAACAACAAATCTTTAAGACAAACAAAAACATCTCCACTGTCTTGCCTCAGACAATCTTCCTCAGATGTATACTTAAACATGAAACATAATAACAGTTTTATAGACAAACCTGACTTTATATTATTATATTTGGTAAAACATCTAGTATTGGAACTAGAAAGAAAAGGAACCAAACCAGAACTTGGCTAAACAAGTGTGGTTGCTATGTAAAGTACACCCTTTCATTGGCCTTAAATTTCCCCACATTTAGCTTCAATGAATGACCCAGAATTATATTACAACAGAAGAAACAAAAACTAGTAATATTTTTCACATATGCATATTTTCTATGCCTCTACTACATCTCCCAATGCATACCTTCATTCTCATTCTAAAAGCCCAAAATATTGTAATAATTCCTTAGAGCAGAATTTTTCTCAATCAAGAATCATCTTGGTTACACTTAGTTCTCTTTTTGTACTCTGCTGAACCCAAAAATGTCTGGGGTTTTTTCTTAATTTAGTCCAATTCATATAGATTTCCAGAACAGAAGAAAACAAAACTCAAACGTATTCTCTTCCTTACCATTTGGACAAGCTGGGTTTCCCCATATTTATTTTTGCACATTTCTTTTATCTGCTAAATAGGATATCTAATGAACAAACCCCTTTATGCTCTCATTTTTGTTGTCTAACTATAATTGCATTGTAAAGGACACTGCTTCATGAGGTTCATGATTACAAGCAGACAAGCAACTAATTACTGGAAGCCTTTAACGGCAGGATTTGAATTAAACCTTGATTCAAATTACTAACTGTTGTAGTATCAAAGAAATCAAACAGCTGGAAATGCAAGCAATGGCAAAGAACAATGAACATGAAATGAAGTCTCTGAAAGATTCCCTAATGCTAGCCAAAAACTGAAGATTAGGCAGAAAAAGAAGGGCCTTTGAAGCATGGAAGAGGAATATTGATTACCTGGAGATTTTACAAGTTTACTGTGAGTTTTCTTACAGAGATATAACATGACTCACCTCCTTCCCTCAAGCTTTTCCCACCAAAGAAAGCAGCAGGTTTTTAAATTAAATTATCTATTTATCTTAATTAGAACTGGAGAGCTTGACATTTGCTCAGGTTACAGACTGATCACAAACAGCTTGCAGGAACATTCTATGTTGCTATTAAAGGGTGAAGGATAGTGAAGCATTTACCTATGGGGTTTAACACCATATGTGCAGTCACAGAAAGTGATTTCTTAAGGCAAGTGCCTCTATTTGTTTTACTGTGAAACAGTATCACACTTTCTAGTATACTTGATAAATATATAACTGGTACATTTCTAATCACATAACGCATGTCACAGTGCACCATGCCTCTCTATATGGTATAAATTAGTCAAACATTTCACTGAATATCAATTTCCTTAATTGCTTTTATAGGTACATTATATGCAATACTTGTGTCCCTAGTTATATGCAATACTTGTGTACCTTTAAAACAGTGGTTCTCAACCTTTTTAATGCCGCGACCCCCAACCGGTCGTAAGTCAAGGACTAAATCGGTCGTAAGTCGAGGACTTTCCCTGCCCGGGAGCGCCACGCATGCGTGGTTCCGCCCCCTGCGCCGGCCGAGGCGTAGCTGGCAAGCGGCAGAGACGGAGCAGGCCGACCACCAGCTGGCCCAGCTCAAGGGAGGTAAGGCACCCGCCGGAAAAAGGGAAAAAAATGGTGGACAGCCTTGCTTAGCGACCCCCGTGAAATGGTCGATCGACCCCAAATGGGGTCGCGACCCATAGGTTGAGAACCGCTGCTTTAAAAACACAATCCACAGCACATAAGGGGAAGCAAATATTTACTGACTTGCTTTTTCCAAGGATTATATTTTAACATTATTTAAAGATGGAAAGATGAGAGAAATGTAAAATGTAAAAACAAGCTTGCTTATCGCTTACATCCTGCGGTTTAAGGCACTAAGCTAGAAACTGGGAGAACATGAAGTTCAATCCTGCCTTAGGCATGAAGACAGGTGGGCCAGTCACTTTCTCTCATCCCTGAGAAGAAGGCAATGACAAGTTACTTTGGAAAATCTTGCAGAAAGATTGCAGGGACTAGTTCAGGCACCTACCAGTAGTCCACACTCACTGGAAAACAACTCTCCCAAACAAATAAAACTAAGGGCATTTTTAAGAAACCATCCTCCCCAAGCATCTGCAGAAAACCAAGGTTATATCAAACTGAAGGCATGGACGATATCATCATTATGCAAAGTCTAATAGTATGTACTTACATTTCAATATCTGTTACAAGCATGGAAATACTTTTGCATCTTGACATATATTTTGTCACTTGCTCTCTTCCTTCTTCCCTCACCTCACTTCCCATGTGTGCAACTTCTATGCAATATCATTACAGTTGTGTTGAAACTTATTTTTTCAGACTCCACTCATGATGGTGGCAATGCACCATTTTCTTTATAGACAATTTAAGAATAAGTATTGTGGTACTATAATTGTTGGAACGCAATAGAATTTTTTCATAACTTGCTGGTTACCTGTTACCAATTAATGCAGAAAGATAAATATAGCATGAAGCCTTTGGACTTCAAAAACTGGACTCTTGCCTTCAGGGCTAATATTTTGCAGTCCAAATCTGTTCTTAAGTGCAGTTTAGGGAGGGTATGCTACTGAAGGACAATAACTCCTGATTTAATGATCATTACCAATGGGCTTCACTAAATATCTCTATGGAATTATTTAATCACCTCCAAAATAAAAGAACTACAGGAACATAAAATATGGCCATTTCTGAAATCCAGTATCTTGTAAATGAAATTATTTGGTAAGAACTCTACTAACACCTCAATTTAATAAACTATTTGGTAAGAACTCTACTAACACCTCAATTTAATAAACCATATGAAAGGAAGGAATGCCATTAAATCTCTCTGTCCATGAAATCCAAGTTTATGTAAATTACATAAGATATATTTAATGTTGTAATAACTTACATATAAATTGATGCAAATCAACTAGACTGATTCACCAAGCAATGAGTCTTTATGTTCTTTAGGAGTAAAGTCCAAAGTCTTTATTCAGATAGCTGATGTCTTTCAAACCAAGGTTTATCATACTCCAAAGATAATGATATAATATTTAATAAAATCTATCCTCCCTTATGCCCCAGGCATAAATTCCAATTAAGTTTAATCCAATAAAATTCTTCTGAACTCTGTAGCTCTAAAAATGAAAACACTCTTGTAATATTCAATTCTGACACATTACTGCTTAATGACAGTTCTGAAATAATTCTCCAGATGTTACAAATAACCAATTGACTACTTCAAAATTCCTTTGTACATATTGCATATCTAGGTTTGTTCGGTCTCTTATACATATTTCTAATTTTAAACTGTACTAAAGGCCAAAATATTACACACCTTTCTTGTCTAGCACTGGAATCCGCACCAAGACAGCTCTTCTCAGAGCCTACATCTTTAGAGGTGCCATTCATTAATTAGAACATAACAGAGAAAACACAAATTAGCAAACCTAAAATTAGTGTTGGAGCACCTCTGATGCTAGAATTCTAGCAAGATACACACAATGCAAATAAGTTCACTGCTCCCTAAGTGAACTCTGACATCATCATAAAATGAACTATGAAGTGATTACTGGGGAGACACTACCAAAACACAGCATGAACAAATAAGAAAATATTCCTTCCCCCTCCCCTAAAAAATCTTTCAACTGGAAAGTTCACAATAATTACATGCACTAACCCTCTTAAAGGAGCAGCTGCAAATATCCGCATTTACTGTTTTACTGAAACGCGAAAACTCAAGGTAAATGTTTTTAATTCATTGCTAATGAGGGCAGTGGAGAGAAAATTAGGGATGATGAACTATCTGAAGAATTCTATAGATTACCTATCGAGATTAAGAAAACAAAGGCCTCTCTTTCAACACACACGAATCAAAGATCTAGACACGGTTTTTAAATTCAGAGTAAAAGAAGGACGGCAGTGGCACTTCTTAGCACAATTTTTTTTCCCCCTTAAGATTTTCCTACATTCTCCGGTTAGAAAAACCATGTGTCCCAAATGCACGAGACTTAAGGTGTGTAGGGGCGATTCCTTAAAAAAAAAAAAAAACCCAAAAAAACTGTGGATCACAAAAAAGATTAAAAAGGGGGGAATCTGAGCGTGAAGTGTGCTCTGCCCACTACGAAGTCATGACTTATTTGATCCCAGTAGGGATTAAAAAGAGAGACTCCTATCAAAGACAATATGGCTCGCGAGCAAGCCCGACACTAATTTCCCCCTGCCCTTTTTTTTTTTTGGCACCGCACACGCCTCGTCAGAATACCTGTATCGGCTGAATGGAAGCAGAGAAATTAGTTTATTTGGGGCTCCAGACCGTCACCCTCTTGCTCGCAACAGCATTTCTCTCACACCCACTAAAATCTCTCCCTCCCTCCCGCCCCAACGCATAAAAGGCATGATATCCCTTTCCGCAGCCACTTTTCTTCCCTGCCTAAGACTCACCCAACAGTAAGAGGAGCAGGGAAAGGGGCGCCTCCTCTGCACGGTGCCCCATGCCGCCGCGTCCAGCTTGGGAGCGGAGACCCGAGCAAGCGCGCCGAAAGCCAGCCGGAACCCCCCCAAAGCGGCCGGTTAATGAGCTTCCTCGCTTCAGTCAAGTGAAGCCTCGGCCAGGAGGGGCCAATGCAATGCAATGCAATCCAATCCGAGGAGCAGCCAACAGCCGTCGCTCGTTCCCCGCCGGCTCTGGATTGTCCTGGGAACCGGGAGGCGCGAGCGAGAGAGGGCGGGAGCCGCCCGCTTTTTTTCTCCCCCGCCGCCGCCGCCGCCTAAGTCCGGCCGCGCAGCCAACCACAGACCCAAACTTTCCCTGCCCCCGCCCCGCTCCCCCTCCCACAGGTGCCGAGGGGAGGCCAGCCCGGCCCCCACCCCTTAAAGGGGAGGAGGAGGAGGAGGAAGAAGGTGAAGCGCTGACACGCCTTCAGGCGGCCGCCGCCGCCGCTTGTCCTCCGACAAGTGGGTTCCACAGAGTCCGCGCGTCGCCTCGGCCGGGCTGAGGGAAGCCATCGATCGATTAAGGCTCGGGTTACGAGGAAAGCCAGGCTTGGCGCGCGAGCCAATTGCCATTGAGCGGACCCCGCCCTCCGCCTCCCTTTTTTTCGGCCTGGGGGACCCGCCCTAAAGGGAAACCCAGCGCCTCCAACTCCACGGCGGGAAAGTGATAGCCGGGCAAAGACGGGGATGGAGACACACACACACACACACACCGGCCTCGCCTCCGCCTGTCCCCGCCCCAGTTCCCAGAGTGAATGAGAAAGGAGGGGAGGGGAGGGGAGGGGAGGGGAAAGGATTGCCCGCATTCCGAGCGACTTTCCAGCCAAAGAAACCGGGAACTGAATCCAAGGACGCGGGTGCTGAGAGCCCGGCCGCACGTGGGCTTTACCCCGCGCTTTCCAAAACCGTGCTGAGAGGAAGGGAGTGTAGGAATCTCGAGAGCAAACGCTCTCTTGACACGAAAGGTTGTAAAGGGAGGACTGGGTCTATTTACTCGGGAAGTAGATCCCTTTGCTTCCACCAGGTTTAGTCTCAGGTTAAGCACGGGAAGGGATTTAGTCCAAACAGCAGCTGCGTTTTCGGATCTTCCCATGTTCCGAGCCGCAGTTTAGTCCTGTCGTTGATCGCTCATGAGTAAATATGTATATTATTTCCTCTTGAGTAAAGAAGAGTTCCTCTTGAACTCAATGAGCTTCCCGTTCAATTGATGCTGGCTTACGCCGACGTGTAAACTGTTGGGTGAGATTCTCACTAAGACGTAGCTTGATTAGTTTTCATTTAGAGAGATCCATGTGTTACCCCAGCATTTGAACATAAATGTTTATAGTTTTATGAGGTATGAATTTTGCTCTCCGGCAGAGAAAGGATTCTTTTTTTTAGAGAAGATGACTCTGGGGAAAGGTGGTAGATAAGAAAACTACTTCAAAGGGGGAAAATATTGCTTTAGGAGTCAAGAGTTGACATCCTGAATTACAGTAATAAAAATAAATAAAATAAAATCAGCATTTTTGTGCTGCCTATTTAATACACTTTCAGCTTAGTTCGATTATACAGGTGGTGAAACAACACAATGTGAAGACATTTATTCCTGCATTTTCTTTTCCCATGCCTTGAAAGTATTTAAGCTTACATGTCACCTATATGTTGATTCTAATCAGCTTACACTTCTAGTATTCACTGAAAACAATTAAAACAACAAACAGAATAACATTCTCTCCTACCCATATTGTGCCAAGGAACAACAAAGAAGAAGTTGATACAACTGTTGTAACTTCACTGCAGGAACAATTTCAACCCTATCAGCCCCAAAGGCATTCTGGATTAGCCAAGTCTTTAGAGCAGGGGTAGTCAACCTTGGCTCTTTTATGACTCGTGGACTTCAACTCCCAGAATTCCTGAGCCAGCTAAGCTGGCTCAGGAATTCTGGGAGTTGAAGTCCACGAGTCATAAAAGAACCAAGGTTGACTACCCCTGCTTTAGAGCATGGGTGTCACACTCCCTGCATCACAGTGATGTGTCACAATGTATCGGAGGCTAGGCCTCCGCATGATGCAACTTGACAGCCCGGCTTTAGAGCTTTCCTAAATCTTAACAGTGTTGGTTCTAGTATGATTTTGGAAACAATGTTCTTTGGAGGAGGGAGGCCTACCTTCCTGACTTCTAATGGCAACACTCCTTCACATAGGGACCCAAAAGGAACTTTTTCCATATTTTATTGAATGAACAGATATTACTGTGAGTGACATCCAGTGATAACCAGGACTTGAGTCATGTGGACTTCAGCCATGTAAGGCTTTAAAACAGTGGTTCTCAACCTGTGGGTCGGGACCACATTTGGGGTCGATCGACCATTTCACGGGGGTCGCCAAGCAAGGCTGTCCGCCATTTTTTTCCCCTTTTCCGGCGGGTGCCTTACCTCCCTTGGGCTGGGCCAGCTGGTGGTCGGCCTGCTCCGTTTCTGCTGCTTGCCAGCTACGCCTCGGCCGGCGCAGGGGGCGGAACCACGCATGCGTGGCGCTCCCGGGCAGGGAAAGTCCTCGACTTACGACCGGTTGGGTGGTCCTCGACTTACGACCGGTTTAGTCCTCGACTTATGACCGGTTTAGTCCTCGACTTACGACCGGTTTAGTCCTCAACTTACGACCGGTTGGGGTCGTGGCATTAAAAAGGTTGAGAACCACTGCTTTAAAAGGTGTCAACCAAAGCCTTGATCTGCATATAGATATTATTGGTTACCAGTTCAGCTCTTGCAATAGTAGTTTCACACAAGTGTGAAGTGATAACTGATGCATTCTAGAGTCTAGACCACCTGTAGCTTTTAGGTGGAGAGACGCTGCAGGTCACGTAAATTCAAGATCCTCAGATTCCCTACCAGTTACAACATGCCTGGCCTTATGGGCTTCTGCAGCACAGAAATCTTGGTATGTGTGGCAGCTCCCAGTCATGACTTTTTTCCCCATATACTGTGTATGCTTTACTCTTACTCCGTACTTCTCTTCCACTGATTCTTTGATTTGCAGCCTAACAGCAATGCTTCATTTCCAATATACATTTCACAGCTTTCACCAAGTTTTACTCAGTTTCCAATTCTTTTCACTTCTTTGTTTCTTCTTCAATGCCATTTTAGAAAATAAAAGCTAAAATATTTTTTTAAACAATATTTAAATGTTTCACCGACTTGCTGTTTATAACTTTAATCTGTTTGGGGGATTATTTTAAGTGATTAGAAAGTAGGATGTACTTGTAATAAATAAATGGAGACGGATATGTAATCCAAATTTAAATGCTAATAAATTTGTTAATGTTTAATGGATCTCCTTTTTATGCGTTTCTCCCATAAAGCTTTGAGCTATATCACTGAGAGGTTTTGCAGCTAATGATTGATCTGCATGACCAGCTTGCCCTAGTACAAGCATGGGCCACTGACCATTTCTTGAAGCAGGAACACTTGACATTATCTTCTACTTTCTCCCAGCCCTCTGGGAAGGCAACCTCCAACGGCCTTTCCCCGCTGCACTTCCAAAGTAATGTTTCCTGACTCAAGATCAAGTGTTGCTGTCCAGCGTATGCTTCATTTCGTTGTACGCAAACATCTTTTGTCAAATTGGTTGCTGTGCATTGTGGCACGATTTTCTCCTTCCCACCGTTTTGATCACTCTTTGGTGACAAATTCCCCAGTAGACCAGTGAAAGGTGGACTTTTTTTTAATTTACAACATAACTAATGAAACAATTATGGATCTGTCTTTGCTATTTGGGGAGGTAAAGGTCCAAATTCATTGATGAAACAGTGAAAAGATCTACTTGCATTTGTTTTAACAAAATTAGAGATGGAAGAATGAAGTAGTGGATTTTGTTTTCTTTATAAGAAAATGTAATGGATAAAGAGTTTTACCACTTCATCTTCTACTCCAAGTTTTCTTTCTATTTAATTAGTCCAGAAGGAAAATCCACCATTCTGGGGCATGAAAAACATGACTGAGATAGGATATCTAGCTGTACTGTGTCCAAAGCAGGTGAGAAGATGAAAATATAGAGATGGTTTTCTTAAGTCATCTTCGTTTACAACTGGGCTAGGCACAATAGCTTAAGGCTACAATATAGAAAAATGCAAAAATTTGTTTTCTGTGTCTCTTACAAGGTTGACATTGAAATACATTGAGACAGAAATTTTTAACTTACAACTTATGTGTCTTGGATTGCATGTACCTAACTGTCTAAAGCAGTATAAAAGTATTCATAAATAAAGAGATGCTAATAATTTCCAAAAATGTTTTGTAAAGCAATTGATCAATCTCATTCATGGGATTTTACAGACAATGAGCCCTGAAATGTTTCATAGTTACATCTCCAAGGCAAAGCTTTCTTGCTTTCAAGTCCATTTGTTTTGGTAATCCCAGACTACTACATCTTCCAAGTAGTGCCCAGTGGTTTGCCACACAGCCTGAGATTCCTAAAATCAAAAAGGAGAAAGGAAGGAAAATGATGGGCACTGTTCTTGTCTACCTTATTTACTATACCCATTGCAAACACAAGATGTAGTTGCAAAGCATGCACTCCCCTCCATTATTTTACTGCAATTGAAGACATCTATTGTTGAAGTTTCTTCACCTCATTGCAAAGATCACTGAGATAGATGTCCCCCACCAAAGTAGAGGAAGAAAACTCCTTTGGGTAGTTTTGAATTACGTTTTTCCCCATCTTTCAGCTTTTCACCAATCAAACAGGAAGCCAACAGAAGAAATAATCACACACTTGTCATTTGCTCAGGAACATTAGCTCTCCACATAGAAGAGCCACAAATATTTTTGGTCATTTGAATACACAAATATGCACGTAATTAATACAGTGAAGTAAATATACCTTTTATTGTGGGGTTTTTTTAAAAAAAGAAAGGGGCTTATTTGCCTTGTCTTTTACAAGAGCGCCCTTCCATTTCAAGACTAATGTTTTTAATTATTGTAAATGTCTATACATGTCCTACCTGTTACAATCCCAATGGGAAATGATTCATAAGAGACTTAAGCAACCAGAACCAGACTGACTAGTGATCCTATTTGTTTTGCCATCAAAGAGAAGTAATTGGTTGCGCACATATACTGTTGAATTGCCATTGTCATTCTACTGCCAGTCCTCCTGT